CGGTGGCCCAACCACCGTGGATTAGAACTTGAGTAGATGGAAGTAGAATTGAGTAGGGCGTCATTTGCAGTCCACACAGGGGCCAGGAACGTAAGCAGCTGGCAGTTGAAGGTTGATTACTTCATTGGTTTACTTCTTTCTTGATGGTGGGAGCAAGCTCTGATCTTTGGTCTTCGTTTTCGGCTTGTCTTTCTTGGCGGTCCGACTTCGTGTTGACATTGCTGTGGGATCAATAGAGTCATAAAGAAAATCGGCAGATGAATAGTTGTATTTCTGTGAAGGTGGAGATGTCGTTCCCACAGAGACATCCTCATCTGATGAGTCAGATGAGTACATACCAGGAGATGTGGGTCTTGGAAGTAATGTTCCTGATGGTTTAGTAGCAGCAGTAGGACTTATTGCAGATGTAGAAGGTTCAGTTGATGTATGTACTGTGGGTGGAGATGTAACAGGAGATGGTGGATGAGAAGTCGTCGGCTTCTGGGTTGCTACCATACCAGGAGCAGATGTTGCAGCTGCAGTGGGTTCAGTATCGTTCACAGTAATGTCCGAGGCCGGACCAGGAGCTGGAGTATCATCCGACAATGGGTTTGAAGGGTCGGGGACTAGTACAGTGGTCCCTGAAGGCTTGGTATGAAGAGGTGCTGGGTGGCTCTGCTGTGTTGAAGGTTCATTGCCAGTTCGTTCTTGAATTTCTTTCTTTATCATAGCGGCGTGTTTCGGATATTTCACGTAGTACTGAGGGTCAATAATGGCAGGGTGGAGCATGGTAACATCAGTGCAGTAACGAACTGTGTCAGCATCAACGTACCAAAACTCTCTGCGGGTTCCGTCATCGTTCAGTCCGTTTTCGTAGTCGATGTTCCACTCCCGAGCTAGGGCGGTGAAATTCTTGTAAGAAAATCTGGATGTGGAGAGAGAGGAGGCTTGAAAGTTCGGTGGCCTGTCCACCGCGGGTTGGAGATATTTTGCGGTCTAAGCCTGTTTGTTGTTGTTTTAGATTTAGCTACTCAGAACGAAGTGTCCATGTAGCACGGGCTATGAGCCCGTGCTACATGGGTGAGCCCGTAACCTCTAAGCCTGCAGCTTGAGGTCTTCTCTTGTTAATCCCCAATGTAACTTCTTGTATATAAATAAATAAATAATAATAAAATATATAACAACCTTAGAAAAAATGCTTAAATAAATTAGTTTACCCTATAAAATTAAGTTTTATTAGAAACTTTGATATTTTCGCAATTTTGTTTTTCTAATTTTCTTACACACATAAAAAATATATGTTAAACACACATAATTAAATATTAGCCCCAAAAGTAGAGAGAGTTATACACAGTAACCTTAAGGTCAGCCCGGAGCTCTGCTCCTGATTACTGACTTCATAACTCTTCCATTATAACACTCTAAGACGAGTCTGTTATTATATTAAATAGCATGTTTTTATATAACTATTTATTAAATGCTTTATAAGATTAAATTTATTATATGAATTGACATAAGAGGGACACAAATAGTTTATATATTTTAAAAATCAACAAAGATATAATATAAAAAATTTAAGGTATATTTAAAAATTAAAAAAGGAATAAGCACATCATCGAATCTAATAATATAAAACAGACATAACTTTAACAATAAGGTAATTTTGAAATGCTATATTAGCATTATAATCTTGTAAATACTGTACTGTAAATAGTGACGAGGGCGACCATATGTAACAATGTGGTTGTGGGAGAGGAAGCCCTAAAGGCCACCAACACCAGTCATGCCCAGCTGCTGTGGGAGACGGACGTGCGTCGGGAGCTCTCCTGGAGGTTGTCAACTTGTGCTAATCGCTATAGTGAACCAGGACTCTTTAGCTTTTTAGCTTTGATGTCCAGAGAGCTTGGAGAGGATGTGGGAGGAAGAAGGATGGGGCGGTGAGATTCTTGTAAGAAGATCTGGATGTGGAGAGAGAGGAGGCTTCAAAGTTCGGTGGCCTGTCCACCGCGGGTTGGAGATATTTTGCGGTCTAAGTCTGTTTGTTGTTGTTTTAGATTTAGCTACTCAGAACGAAGTGTCCATGTAGCACGGGCTATGGTGATCCCGTGCTACATGGGTGAGCCCGTAACCTCTAAGCCTGCAGCTTGAGGTCTTCTTAAGCGGCAGGAGGCTAGTGGTGAGGCGGTGTGATGTCGACCTGGTTCACTTGAGGTGTTCTGTCTGGCTTGCAGGAGGTTTTTTCCCTACGATGTTAATGGACCTGTTCGTTCTTTTAACTTGGGTTCGATTTTGACAGTGGTGGTACGATGTTGTAGTTTCGCCTGAAATATCCGAGCGCCAGCTTTGGTATCGGCGCTCCTTCTGGGTCCTCCTCGGCTGCGGTAGAGAAGTCGTTTTGTTCCATCTTTTCTGCCCTGAAGACTGGGTCCATGTAATTTATGTTGAGGATGGAGAGGTCTATGAATCGCTCCACTGTGGAATAGTGGACGAACATTATGTGAGGTAATTCGCTTTGATGTCCAAAGGGATTGGAAAGGATGGGGGAGGTAGAGGGATGGGGAGATGAAATTCAGGAAGAGGATGCGGGTGTAGAGAGAGAGGAGGTTTGAAAGTTCGGTGGCCTGTCCACCATGGGTTGACATATGTGTATGTGTTGTTTGTTTGCGTGTGTGTTATGTTGGGTTGTCAGTACATTGGCTGGGGGGCTAGTGTTTGTGACCTTGTTGGTGTCCTAAAGCACTAGAGCCGATGGAGTTGGCTGAAGGAGGTTGATCTTAGCAACATCAGGGTAGTTACACTTCTGATAGCACGACAAAGGGTTTTTGGTTTTATATTTTTTGTAGTAGTTTTATTTATTTATTTATTTTTTATTTTTTTATTTTTTTATTTTTTGTTTTGTTTTTTTATTTATTTTCTTTATTCTTCACTTGGTGTAGATGGGGTCCGGGATGGGCCACTCATCTGGGTCGTCTGGCAGGCCGCTTAGTATTTGAGGTCTTGGGAAGGCCTCATCATGGATGTGTCTGATCACTTTTTGTTGGAGAGTGATTCTTCTGGTTCTGTGTGGTGGTTCGTGGCTCTCGTAGTCGCTGGTGGTGTTTACTGCTACGTTGGGATCTTCGGGGTCTGGGACATACATGTTCTTCATGCGGTACAGCTGTCTTCTGGCCAGGTAGCTGAGCCTGATGTTCATTGGCTTCATGTTGAGCGTCTCATGGATTTGGTCAGTTCTTACCCTGTCCCTCAGAGTCAGGTCCTCCGCAAAGCGAAGTGCTTTATTTTATACCCTTTGGATCTTCAGCATGTTGGATTTGTTGGTAAGGTTCAGTTTGGTTTTGTTCCTGTTGGAGATGCGCCGGTTGCATTCTATGGCCAGGGTTGTTCTGGTATTGCTGTTGCCATTGAAGACTACCTCCTGAGGGATATAGAGGCAGTAACAAGGTTTGCTTCTGTCTGTTTTGCCTGGTATGACTGCGGGCACTGAGTGGATGTAGGTGACTTCAAGCTCTTCGTTCTCTTCAATTTCAGTGTCCGGTGCAGATGCTTGCTGTGGTAACTGAGGCCTGTGTCATTGGAATGGGTGCCTGAGACACCCGTGTTCCGGATTCTGCTGGTGTTGAGGTTTGTTCTGGTTCCGTGGTCGGTGTTGCCGCCGTTCAGCGTTGCTGGAGTGCTGTCCATGAATGAGGACTGTCTCTTATCCTTTGTTTTTTTAGATGGAGGGGCCTGGGGTGATGTCGTCTGGTGGCCTGTCAGTTTCTTGTTGATACAGAAGGAAACGGTAGCAGGTGATCGAGGTGCAGTTCTTGTAGTGGGTTCTGAGGCTGTAGTAGGTCCGCTGGGACCGACATCGTAGGTAGGTTGTTCTGGGCAAGCAGCATGTTCAGTACTCGCACGTATTTGGCGACGTCTGTTCCTGCCATCTTCTCAGCGACACTGATCAGGGCTGGGATGAGAGCGGTGGCGGCCGAGACCGCTGATTGGTTGACTGGAGAGTTGGCTGGCTGGACTGCAGTCGCCTGTGTGCTGGGTCCTATAAATGAATTAAATATAGGACAAGATACCCTTCGTTACGGGCTCACCATAGCCCGTGCTACATGGACACTTCGTTCTGAGTAGCTAAATCTGAAACAACAACAAGCTTCGGGTGAGCTTTGAAGTGAGTATGGTTGAAGAGTAGCCGGTGAGAGGAAACGTCGAAGTTGGAGAGACAGAGCCAGGGTTAAACCCAGCTGCACGGCGTAGATGAGGCTTTCCAAACACCAGGCTGGCTTAGGCTGGGAGGCAGGGTCCCGATGCAGGCGATGAGTCACATCGCCTGGACCTACTGAAGGTCCAGGACGGACCGAAACGTCGTCGTCCCTTCACCTTCTAGTGTGTGGTCTGGTCAGCAGGGCCTCGAGTTAAGGGCGGCGAAGCGAGGACTGCTTTCATCTTGAGATGTGGAGTCTTCTTTCTTCTCTGAAGCTGAAGTCTTCTTTCTTCGTTTGAAGCTGGAGTCTTCATTCCTCTGTCTTCCACGTCGGTCTGCTCCGGAGCTTACAGGGATTCCACCACCTCTAAACGAGCAAAATTAGGTCCCCATCCCCCTAAAGAGGGGGGAAGAAGACAGCTGCCATCAGTAGGTCACAATACTGCAGTTCGTTTGATCAGGAGTCATTTCCTCATGGTCTTTTTGCATGATGGTGTTCCTTGTCTGTTGTTGGTATGTTGACGTCACCTTCAGAGGGGAGCCATACTCGGGCCCATATTATATGCTTTAATTAAGGCTTTTTGGTCTACTCTGGTTACAGTCTCCTTGCCGTTTGTGTGTGATCGTCAGGTCTATCACATCGAGAACATCCAATGGAGAGGCTGGGTACCACATGTTGAACAGGATGAATCTGCGAGGGGTAGACAAGTCTTCTGTGTTCACTTCTCTGAACGAGTCTTGGTGTAGCTGTGTCGGTAAAGCCATCTGAGCTTTCTATGATTTGGTCACGAACTGGTACTTGGAATTCCGCCAGTCTGGGATCTTGATTTCACGTAGCCATCTTGAGGGACACATAGGGGTTGAATAATTTCCCTTTGGTCACGTAGGGGTTGAGAAATTTCGGGGTTGCTGGTCTATCAATTTCTTCAGGTTCCTTTGCTGTCGTCAGGACTGGGTCAGTCATTTGTGTGACTGGTGGTGGTGGTTGACTTGCAGGTTCGGTGACTGGTGTTATGATCGGTGGGGAAGCTGCCGAAGTGCTGGTGCTTGCCGGGTCCGGGTTGACAGGTGCTGCAGGGTCGGCCTCTGGTTGAGTAGAGCGGTCGGTAAACATTGCCTCTGGTATCACAAAGGTCGGAAGTTTGTTCACCTTGTACAGGTCATTCAGTATTCTGTACCGTCGTTTGAGGTCTTCCTCTGAGAGTTCCGTGGCGAAGTGTATCAGAGCTGCAACAGTGCTGTCAAGGGTGGCTGGTGGCGGCGTGAGTGACGACGGCTGGCTGGTGGCGGCGTGAGTGGCGACGGCTGGCTGGTGGCGGCGTGAGTGACGACGGCTGGCTGGTGGCGGCGTGAGTGACGACGGCTGGCTGGTGGCGGCGTGAGTGACGACGGCTGGCTGGTGGTGGCGTGAGTGGCGACGGCTGGCTGGTGGCGGCGTGAGTGACGACGGCTGGCTGGTGGCGGCGTGAGTGGCGACGGCTGGCTGGTGGTGGCGTGAGTGGCGACGGCTGGCTGGTGGCGGCGTGAGTGACGACGGCTGGCTGGCTTGGTTGAGTGGTGTCGTCTGGCAACCCGCTCTCGCACAAGACAGCACATATATGACTTAACGCTTATATGACTTAACGCTTATATTCATTATTTTGCTTATGAATTAGTACATATGTGGTATATTCCCAGTTATATTTTTCTCATGGGTCAAACTCTTCCTCACGTACCAATTTACGTCTCACAGTTCCCGTCCATTGCTGTAGACAGCAGAATAGTCGTGATTGGTTCAATTATAATGAAAATTGTAGTTTTCAGGTCCCACATGGGTTGTGAAATTTACCTACTATTGTCCATACTCTTAGAATATTACAGATCAGCTATATCCTATTGAAGGTTCGTAGTTTTGTTTTGAGAAATAGTAGTTGTTCTTAATAAAGTATAATAAGCACTATAAATTATTACATAGAATAATATTTTGTAGGAACGTCTACAGAAAACGATGTTTTCTATGCAAATATCGCCATTCCTAAAACAACACACATATCAACACACAGCTCTGTCATATCTACACTATTCAAATGTAGATATGACAGAGCCCGATAGGCTCAGGAATCTGTACACCTGTTGATTGACGGTTGAGAGGCGGGACCAAAGAGCCAGAGCTCAACCCCCGCAAACACAACTAGGTGAGTACAACTAGGTGAGTACACAAACCACATTTCACTTTCACCCCCTCCATTCGCTCAAAACGCTTCTTAGCTTGTTATCACACTAGATATTTACAAAACATGCATCGTCATGGACAAGTACTCTGGGACCTCACAACATCACTATGGACAAGTACTCTGGGACCTCACAACATCACTATGGACAAGTACTCTGGGACCTCACAACATCACTATGGACAAGTACTCTGGGACCTCACAACATCACTATGGACAAGTACTCTGGGACCTCACAACATCACTATGGACAAGTACTCTGGGACCTCACAACATCACTATGGACAAGTACTCTGGGACCTCACAACATCACTATGGACAAGTACTCTGGGACCTCACAACACCACTATGAACAAGTACTCTGGGACCTCACAACACCACTATGGACAAGTACTCTGGGACCTCACAACACCACTATGGACAAGTACTCTGGGACCTCACAACACCACTATGGACAAGTACTCTGGGACCTCACAACACTAAAAAACACATACTCAACAGCCTAGATGAAGACCACACAAAACATTGGAAACACCTCAATGAACCAGCAGAAAAACACAGAAAACTGACACCTTAGGAATTTTGAAAACAAATAAAACGCTTACAAGGATCAACTCACACACCATTTAAATATCTCTCACAGAACAACAACAAAATCATTGAACCTGACGAAGTACTTAACATGTTTAAGCATCATTGGGAATGTATTTCTTATCCACATCCTCCTGAACCTTCCCAACATTGAAGTAGTCGAAGACTGGATACACCAAAGCAGACATGAAACTACACCTGATGATCTCAACCACCTTGACAACCTCAACTCACGCACTGAACTACAGACTCCAGCTGATGTCAAGACAGTTCTCATGGGCACTCGTCGTAGAGCCCCTGGTGCGTCTGGCATTGGACATATCCTTCTTAGACAACTCCGTTTCTATCATTGCTGCTGTCACCAACTTATTCAACACCTCTCTTGCCTCTGGATATTTCCCTCTCACCTTCAAATCTGCCACTGCTGTTATTATTCCAAAACCTGGGAAACTTCCCGCTGACCCAAAGAACTACAGACCCATCAGCCTTCTAGAGACACTTGGCAAAGTCTTTGAAAGGCTGATCAACCAGAGACTTAGAACCCACCTATAAGACAGTGACTTACTCACTAACAAACAGTTTGGATTCCGGCCTCACCGGTCCACTCACGACCCTTAAACATCATGACTAACTACCTCAGTATCAATCAGCACCAAAGACTTAAGACTCACTCATCAACTCCAACAAATAAAAAATCACCAAATTCTTCTGTAAAAGAGCTGCACGCCCTCTTCCTGTTCAACTCTATTCACTCTCTCCTAATCCTACCAACAACTCTGTATCTCCTTCCACCACAGTTCTTGGCCTCACACTTGATCGACAGCTACTCTTTCACACACACATTACACAGGAATATTACAATAATAATCCAAGCCATGAACAAATTGTATAGACTTAGATTTGCAAAACCTGACACAAAAATGCACCTCTATAAAGCACTTATTAGACCTCTCCTAACATATGCTTTACTAGCTCTTTCTTTAGCTGCACCTACTAATAAACTGAAGCTTCAGAGAATACAGAAGAGAGCACTTAGATGGGTACTCAACACCCGATGGCAAGAGTTCAATACCAGTGAAAGTCTCCATGAAAGTACCAACATTCCTGCCCTCAATGTCTACTGGAAAACTGTATTAGACAAACAACTTGACAGACTACTCACTTATCATGAACAACACATTGACTTACACACTCTCAGACACCCACGACCTCTTCTCTACCATCCATGATCCTCCTCCTAACTCTGTATTTCGATAAACTTTAGCTCTCAACACCCAGCACCAATCATCAGTAAAAGTTCAGCCCTGACGCTCTTGAGCCAATCACTGCGATGTTGTGAGTGTTGTGATGTCCCTGTTGTTGTCACTGAAACACCCGACTGAGTCCCTGCCTCGACTGCCGCAACCAAACGACACGCAGCTGGGTTTAGCCCTGGCACTTTTTCTCCTACAAATCTTCTTCCTCTCACCCCCCTTATCTTCTTCTGTCCTCACTTCCAAGCTCGCCCTTCGCGGTGTCTTATCCTGTATATATTCTGATTCTGATCCTGGGAGTGTAAGTGTTGATGTAGGCCTAGTTGACCTCGCAACACGGAGGTGCCTAACTCCATGACCCACGCGTAAACAATATAGAATCCCTTCATTTAATTTCTTATATATTATATAACTTAAAATACAGATTAAATTATTTAATTATGTTTCACACCGTTACATATTAATTATTATTAAACATTTTTCGTAATTTTATTGCAATAAAATTCTTTTATATTAAATAATAAACATTAAATATTAAATAATAAATATTTTACTAACATTTTAAAGGAATTTCATTATTGTAATTTTCTTTGTGAGAAACAATATTAATTTGATAAAAATCTTTTCTTTTTTCAAGTAAATATAATTTATAAAGTTTTTGTGTGTTTTGTTGATACATTATGGTCGACGTGGCTCACTAAAATATTTTTATTTTATTGTCATGGAATTTTTGACCTTAATGATCACAAAAAACCTGAATTTACCAGATAAGAACTATGTCTAGTGGTCTCCACGGAGACAGGAAGCCGACAACTTGTCAAATATCACCCATTCTTCCTGGGGTTTTTTCCCTCTGGATCTTGAACTGAAGAAATATCTTGGCGGGTATTTAACACAAGCATAGGTTTAGTAATATTATTATTATTATCATTTAGAAAATCAACTAGGCCTATGAGGTGGGCGCAAACCTACGACCAGTAGGTTGCTAGTCGCGTACTCTACCACTAGACCACTCTAGCACTATGACTTATTAAAGTTACACAACTGGATTTCTACTAATATAACAGGAAAACCTGGAATCCCGTACTGAAGCCACTACCCATAAGCACTCGGGTTGAAGGTCACAGTGGTCCTATACCTCATGTCTCAGGGCGTAAGGTGTGGGACCACCCTGACCTTCCACCCGAGTGCTTGTGGGTTATACATAAAAACTTGGACTGGCTTCAGTAGGGACCTCTAGACTTCCTGTGATATTAGTAAAAATCCGGTTGTGTGATATCACAAGTCGTCTGGTGGTAGTGTACACAACTTGCAATGCTAAGGTCTTAGTTTCGCGCCCACCTCATTCACCTTTTGGATTTTCTCGATGATATATATTACATTAATGTAATTTCTATGTGATAATAATAATAATAATAATTATTATTATTATTATTTTCTACTGGCAAAGTGGACATGCATTTATGATACTAACCATCGTATATAAACATTTTTCTTCTCTCCTCTGTGAATATTAAGTGATAAAAATGTGCCCAACTATTTCTGTCCCGCCCAGGAATCGAACCCTGGATCCCCGATTGTGGGTCGAGATAAAGGCCAATTGTTGTTTTTTGTCCTACATTGTGGCGGGTTGAACTTGAAGCTGTTGGTCTTTGTTTGTGTCACATCTGGTCTTCTGAAGATGTTGTCTAGATCAACATCCTCCAAACTGTTCAGTATATGAAGGTCTGGATGAGATCAGTCTAATCATGTTTAGTTTACAGATAGTCCTGTGACCCTCAGCCCTTCCTGGTATGGGAGTCGACAGTTCTGGGAAGGTTTTGTCACCTGGTCTTGAACTCTCTCCGTCACAGATGTCCTTGTGAAGACAAGGTCTCACCTCCAAACACCTGGTGTTATTCTTCAGCCGTATCTTGCTCTAGTTAGGCCCCATTAAGATGCTGTTCAGTTTTGGTCGCCAAACTATGGAATGGATATACACTCAACCGTTTCTGGTTGTTTTATCATCCCAAACTTATTGTCTTACGTTAAAGTCACCCATTATGATAGTTTCAGAGTCGCTGTTGGTTGAAGGAAGAGACGTCTCCATCATTGTGTCACACCTCACATAGATGTTGCACAGGTAGAAGGAGTCAGTCTCTGTGGATATCTGAAACTTCTGATAATTGGTGTCTTCACTCCTATGATTTTTAATGTCTACAAACTAGACCACTTATGACATACTACATCAGTATGCCCTCGAGACCCTGGGAGTGTAGGTGACCATGCAACACGGAAGTGTCCAGCTCCACATTGTACGTGTGAACAATATAGAACGCCTTTATATAAATATTTTTTTTTATTTACAGCACCTTCTGATGCTGGTAAAAAATATAATTACAATTAATAATTCCTTCAATGGTACATTACACATATTTATTATTATTATAAACTATTCATAATTTTGTTGTAATAAAATATTTTTATATTAAGTTTTAAACATTTTAAAAATAATTAAAAGTTGTTTAATTATTTTGTTTTTCATTATAAAAAACAATATTAATTTAATACAAATATTAATTTTTTTTTCGTAAATAAAAGTAATAAAGTTTTTTGTGTGTTTTGTTGGTAACGTATGATCGGCTTGGCTAACTAAAATATTTACATTTTATTGGCTTGGATTTTCAATCTTCTTTGTGATGACTAAAATACTTAAATTTACCAGATAGGCCTCCATCGACGCCATAGTGGTCTCCGTCGAGACCACTATATCTATATCGACGGAGGCCGGAAGCCGACAGCTTGTCAAATATCACTCACTCTTCCTGGGGATTTTTCCCTCTGGATCTTGAATTGAAGTAATGACTTGGCGTGTATTGAACACAGGCATAGGTTTATTATTATTATTATTATTGAGAAAATTCACTTGGGCTATGAAGTGGGCACGAACCTACGACCCCAGCATAAACAGTAGCGTACTCCTCCCACTAAACCACCATTTTCTGAGGTTGGAAGAAAACGTGCTCAGATTGGGGACTTGTTTATTTTATAATGGTAAATAATAAATTAATATATAATAAATTAATAAATAATAAATTAATTATTATTATATAATAAATAAGAATAATAACAAATAGTATAATGATACGCAATTATTTTTAATGAATCAAATAGCTAATTAGGATGAATGATAAATAATTATTGACTAGTGCATAACAATAAAGTATTAAGGAATAATTATAATGAATAATCCTTAATGATAAAGGAGAGATCAATTACTATTAATAACTACATCCATAGGTAGTAAATGAAAGTTGCATTAATTTAATTACACTAATTACAATTCATGGGAATATTTCTTAGCTATCTGCAGGCTTATCACTTTGGGGGTTCCGGCGGAGCACCCCCAAAGATACAGCAACTGAACATGCTAGAACAAGTGCCCCTTGAGCACGTCTGTGGGCCGTCCCTTTCAAAAATAAAACAGAGGATCCCGGGAGGAGGGTGGGCGTTTTGTAAGAGCAGCTGCTGGCTTGTCGGGAAGAGGGGCCACGCAGTCTGCAGGCCGAGCTTATATAACCTCGGCTCGTTGCGCGCGCAGCTTGGGGCGGTTAAAATCAGCTTCCAGACATACGTTTTCTCTTCCCCTCAGAAAACCCACCGTTTTTGGGAAAAACAGTGTTCTTGACTTGTTAAAGTCATACAACTGGATTTCTACTGATATCACAGGAAGTCTGGAAGCCCCTACTGAATCCAGCCCAAGTACTTACATATGACCAACAGGCACTCGGGTGGAAGGTCTAAGTGGTCCTACACCTCACGTCCCAACTTCACAAACTGTGTTTCGTAGAGACGCGACTCGTAATGCCGAGGTCGTAGGTTCTCCCCCACCTCATTCCCCCTATTTTATTTTCTCAATGATATATATCACGTTAATGTAATTTCTATGTGATTATTATTATCGTTGTTATTATTTTCTACTGGCAAAGTGGGCATGCATTTATGATACTAACCATCGCATATAAACATTTTCTTCTCTCCTCTGTGAATATTAAGTGATAAAAATGTGCCCAACTATTTCTGTCCCGCCCAGGAATCGAACCCTGGATTCCCGATTGTGGGTCGAGATCAGTCTAATCATGTTTAGTTTACAGATAGTCCTGTGACCCTCAGCCCTTCCTGGTATGGGAGTCGACAGTTCTGGGAAGGTTTTGTCACCTGGTCTTGAACTCTCTCCGTCACAGATGTCCTTGTGAAGACAAGGTCTCACCTCCAAACACCTGGTGTTATTCTTCAGCCGTATCTTGCTCTAGTTAGGCCCCATTAAGATGCTGTTCAGTTTTGGTCGCCATACTATGGAATGGATATACACTCAACCGTTTCTGGTTGTTTTATCATCCCAAACTTATTGTCTTGCTTTAAAGTCACCCATTATAATAGTTTCAGAGTCGCTGTTGGTTATAAATAAATAAATAAATATGTTTATTCAGGTAAGGTACATACATACAAGTGATGATACATTAATGGATCAATATATAGATAGAGCAATATATAGATAGAGCTAGTACATACAATGCCTAATGCCACTATTACGCAATGCGTTTCGGGCAAGAAAAACATTAATATCTAGAACTTAATACTAATAGAGCATAAAGAATAAAAAGTGTTGAGAACAAATACAAATAAAGATAAAAAAAGGGGGAACATGACTGAAAAAGCAGCACAAATACAATAGGTTGACAAACAGTGTTGATTAAACAAAAAAAAAAAAACAAAAAATTACAGACATGGGTTGACAATAGAGGAGTGAGGTAGGTTACAGGGAATTTATTAGGTAGTGTTTAGTTTTTATCTTAAACTGGTTGAGAGAGGTACAGTCTTTAACATGGTTGGGAAGGTCATTCCACATTCTCGGTTCCTTGATTTGTAGAGCATTTCTAGTTTGATAAAGTCGTACTCTTGGAATATCAAAACTGTATTTATTTCTGGTGTGGTGCTCATGGGTTCTGTTACAACCTTCTATGAAGCTTTTGAGATCAGGATTGGCATTATAGTTTAGCGTTTTATATATGTATAATACACATGAGAGAATG